AAATGTGACAAAGACAACTATTTTACTCATGAAATATTTATTAACGAAATATTTCAGAAATTAATTTGAAACTGTATCAAATTAGGCTTCATCAAAGCAGCAACACACTCATTTAAACCAGACAGGTCACAAAATAAAAAATGAATCATAGGAAACTCAGCAGAAAGTCAAGCATGGGGTCGTTACTAAAAAAATGTAATATATTACATATTACTTTTTTTTTTAAAGTAATATTTACACTACTTCGATACTATCTATATAAAGTAACTCGTTACTTTACTCGCCGAGCGCGTACGAACTGCGCATGCGTGAGAGGCAATAACTTTCCTTACCAGCTGGCGGCGGTAGTGTGTATTTGTCATTCAAAACAGGCAACAACCGGAAGACAGAGAAGAAGAACAGACTACGTGATATCAACAAACAACAAATAGCGTGTGCGGTAGCTTCACCTTAGCATGTGTTCTTTGCAGGTGTTTGTTGAGGTTTAACGTGGTGTTTACAGCAGTGGATAACAGCTTCTGGCCTGGACACAGTTTTCACCTCACCGTCACATTCCTGTCTATTCTTCGGACGAACTCAAAATAATGGGCATACCTCCACCCCTGGAAAGTTATCGCTGACTCAGCCATGTTTATGCAGCACTGCATGTGGAGATGTGGACGCGCAAATCGCGCAGATTACGTACATATAAACCTACAAAGTACTGATATAGTAAATAAAAAAATAATTATTTTTTGTGTAGTTGTGTATTGCAATAATAACGTATGGTTGTCACAAAATCCCACGGCACACCCGGACTTGCCTCACGGCACACCGTTTGGGAACCACTGGTAGACACACACACTCGCGAGCTTCCCCTCCAAACGAAAATATCTTCCCTCTGTAGTATTTTGATCATTTGCTCCACTAATAATCAATCAGATCGATGGATTCCAGAGAAGAGGAAACTTTGAAGGTCTTTTTCTCAAAATGACGACTCGGTGACAGTCATTATATAATGTGACATATTTCGCTTAATATTTGGAGTAGAACAACAATCCTGATATCATTAGAAAGCTAGGAATATCCTCTTTCCAACAGTGTATACAACTCAAAATGTGTCTTCGGGTCAATGCGACTGATTTCGATGGAGCAGGTCACATATTGAATCTTAAATCATGTGATTGATGTAAAGAAGAAGCACACTACTGCATCTTCCAATTAGCTTCAGCTGAGGTTTAGAACCTGTTTTGGCATGGAAGAAGGACTGTGCTTAAAAACAACCAATAACACTTTCAGGGTACAAATGACATGTGAGTATATACATTAAGTGATACTCCTATAAAAGCAGAATATGTTCCTTTATAAAGTGTCAGCTAGTAGTCATAATTACAAGCTGTCATTTTAAAGAGTCTGCATGTTTACTTAGCATGGAAGGCATTTGGAATTTGCATTCATGCATATAACATCGATATGGAATTGCATTTATGTATGTATTTGCTTCATTACATTTAGAACATGAGCACATGCTTGATCAACCCATATACACATTAAGAACATGGCAATCTAGAGCGCTGTGCCTCGTTTGTAATGAGTAGTGTATTTTGTTAACATATATAACATTCAGAAAAACTGGAGGGTTGTTTGCTGACATCTTGTCATCTATAATGGATTCCCTATGTGCATTAGAAACAATGTATTCAGCTATATGAGTTAGTAGAACGAGGCAAGTTTCTTCTGGAAATTTGAATTTCCTATAGATATATTTCATCAATAACCGTACTTGTAGGAACACAAAGCAGTAGAACAGTCAGGTGCCTGCTTGTAATCAGTGAAGTAGTGTTAAATAAGAAAGGTTGTTGGGTAATGAATGACCAATCAGTGATGGCCAAGGACATAACCATATACGTTAGCATGCAGAATAACAGCTTGAGCAGCAGCATCTCTGGCTTGGTCTTTTTGTGCCCTAGAAAAGTTACTTTATATGTTAATCATATGTTGCATGTCAAAGAAATGTACCCAGTCAAAGAGATAGTGATCTAAAGCTAGTGTAAAAAGAAAATTAAGTAGGTAGAAAGTTATAATCAAAGTGTATTTATATAGCCCAATATCACACATTTTAAAATGTTTCTAAGGGGACTTTACAGTTTGTACAGAATACCCACACTCTGTCCTTAGACCCTGACATCAGACAAGGAAAAACGTCCACATTACACTGACATCTTGTCATCTATAATGGATTCCCTATGTGCATTAGAAACAATGTATTCAGCTATATGAGTTAGTTGAACGAGGCAAGTTTCTTCTGGAAATTTGAATTTCCTATAGATATATTTCATCAATAACCGTACTTGTAGGAACACAAAGCAGTAGAACAGTCAGGTGCCTGCTTGTAATCAGTGAAGTAGTGTTAAGCCCCAAGGACCCCATCGGCGGGTCCTTTTTTTCACGACACAGTGTCTCAGGGGATCTTAATATTTAAGAACCTATTAATGTGTTATACCAGATTAACGGGAATAATCTCAGCTAGCTGACGATACAAACAATTTTTACCAAAACAAAACACAAGTCTCATAAGAAGCATCTAAATGACCCCTGAGCGAAAAATGCTAACGCACTTTGGCACAGAACTCAAGATAAAAGTACCCTTATTACTTATCGTAGCTGCACATACAAGATATCCGATTAAAACTGAGGTTCCACAGATTATTTAGGTAAATATATCATCACTAAGTGATCCGAACTCGCGACAGGGGAAGCAAACTCAGACATCACAACACGTACCTTTACGTAGCTTTTACGGGAGATCCTCTCACCGTAGCTGTCAATCTGATCAAAAGACTTGTTCAATGGCATTAAAACGAGAAAAAACGCGGCTGAATCGGTTAATCCATAGGTTGATAATGTTTCTGGGTAATAATTTTTTTAATTTATAATCCATAATTACATTTTTATGTAAAAATCGGAGGGTAAAAGTTAGCTGCTAATGGTAGCCACCAGTTATCGCAGCTTCCAGTCTTGGCTATGCGGCAGTCTCACACACACACACACATTACCAAATAAGGAGTATGTGCTCAATAGATATGACTATTTATGGTCTAAATCTGGATAAAAAGGTTTAGTTTTTCAACATATTTTAACAATTTTTCTTAAGTAATGCAACACAAATGTGAGCCATCATTATAGCAGATTGAGAATCAATTCAACCGAGATGAAACCCAAAGCCAAAATTCATAAAAACATCTGAAGTCTTTGGCGAACTGAAAAGTAAAAAATATCCCATCAGATAAAAGCATCACCCTAAAGCTCTTTTGTCTTCCTCTCTCTTCTCTCTGCCGCTGCTATCACAAGAGGCCAAGTCCCAACTGTATACCTAAATACAAATACACTCACATACGGCCCCGTGTGTCATAGAATGTGATGGATTGCAACAATCAAACAATATTTCATGAGTCCCAGCTGGCTGCGAAGAGCCAGTGCCATTTACATTTGTAGGAGAGAACAGATCTCTTTGTCTATTTTTGTCCCAACTGTCTCCCCCTTTCCTATCAGATGAGTCACGCTCTGTTCCCGGCCTACTGTGACACACACACATCCACAAACACACACCATAGTCTGTAGATTAAGGTGATGTGTTATACATTCATAGTCTCTTTTTGATTAAGATTGTAAAAAGTAAATATAATCCGAAACCACCTGCTGTGACTTCAGACAATTATTCATAGTCTCAAAGTCAAGTAAACTTTAGGAAGGAAGCCCTTTATTCTCAAACACATCTTCAGACACTAAAAATGTTCTGCACATAAACCTTACACTTCTATACAAATTGTTATTTTTGTATTCTCTTATTTATCTTTATATTAATATTGTACAATTCTGCAAATCGTATTTTCCGTTAATAATTCTTTGTATTTCTCAAAATAATAAGTATTGTTTAGTTTGCCTAGAAGAAAAAAGACTTATTAGCTGTGTTCAAATCTTTTAAGAAAATAATGGTATAATCTCTAATAGTATAGTCGTACCAGTTGGACGCAATGCAGACATTTGAAATCTGGCTTTGCTCAACATCTAGCTGCACAGGTCCTTCCAGCTATGATGGCGACTTGACAAAAAGTTGCGGTCAATATCAAGATCACAACGCAAGGAAGACCTCTTGAATGCTATTTTATATTCAGATTATTTGGAGCTTTGTTTGAAGGCGAAAGGACTTCATGTAAAGGCAGTGATGAAATTGCAGACCAATATCAATAAAGACAGGGATTGAGTTAGCAGACCAATAACAAATATGCAGATGCTAATTGCCCCCTGGTGTAGGTAGCTAACGATGCTATTTGCACCTGGGTTGTTATAGCCAGTGTGGCTATTTACACCCAGAGTTGTATAAAGCATGACAGAACATGCAACCAGGTGTCCATAGCCAGAAATGCTCTTAACACCCGGGCACACATCAGATTATGTTTTGAATGTATGGGTTTTAATGGAAATTCCTTATTATATGATGACTTTAGTCCCTTGTCGAGCTGCTTGAATTCCCCTATAGTAGATGAATAAAGGCACCTCTTACAATATCTTCAGCACTGTTGTTAATTAAACTGAACATTAAGACACAAATACCATCTGTGCTGTGCAGGTGTCAGTAATGCAAAGATGTTCCACATACACATGTATATTAGCTGTAACATTAATTGACTAATAATTACAATAAATCCTGTATACTTCCTACATAATAATTAGAAGAATAGATTTAAAAGGCTTATCAGACCATATGTATATCTTCATTGCTCCATTTTATTGTTGTGCTTTTGTGAGGTGTTTAAATGCCCTTCAAGGCATTACAATTAAATTGCCCAAAACTGTTACAGATACATGAAGGCAAAGTTAGATTGCAACTTCTCTGTTTTTCCATTTGCAGTGAGTTTTTCCGATGCCTATATGAATAAGTTGACAGACGTTACATTCCTTAGGGTGAGATTGTTCATTTGTTTTTTCTGTTTCCTTCTCTTCTCCCTGTATGTGTTTAGACAAGAGTGTGGTAACTCAGTCCATGCTGTCCACAGCCTCCTCTCTGAGAGACCACGCAGCTTTCTTACAATCAGAAACCATGCGGCCGGCAAATGACCCTAAAGAGCGAGACCCCTCCCACGTACGGATGCTGAATGATGTACTCCGTGACCTGGAGAAGAGCTTCATCCTCCCACAGACACCGCCTGGAGTGTACAGGTAAGAGACTGTCTCAGAGGAACCCGGGAGTGTAAACACCATATATATATAAAACCTCAAAACCTCCTTTTTTAAATGAGAACATTCTATTTTTCTTATTTTCTCTTCACAGTTGACATTAAAAGGTCTTAAAATCAGCAAGCAGGCAATCATCGTCTGCCTCCCTATATACTTAGTTCTGTTATTTGAACAATCTGAAACAGTTGTATCTTTTGTATTTGTTTGCATACTGAAAATCCAGCATTACCTGACACTGGTACCCTGTAGATTTGTCTTAAAAACAAAAACTGTAATGTTAAATAGGTCAAATATCTCTTGAAAAACCTTTTGAAAGCTGCATTTTTGGTATTTTTCTTAGTGTGTTACTGCCACCATATGTTAATCAGTGGAATGACACAAATGGTTTTCAGGAATATGTGCTGCATGGCCATGCGATGGGATTATACATACAACATCTCTTTCTAATACTGTTGCTCTTTAGCACCCTTAGTGGTCCAAAAGTCCACAGGGGCCCTTTAAAATTAAAGATATATGAAACAATATTTTGAGTGCAGGGCAAGTACATGCATATTGCATACTTAACACTTACACATACGGTCATATTTGTTGTGATATTTGTCAACTTTGATGCTGAATGACGATTGGCCGGTTAGCCCTTGGGGTCTTGTTGTCTAGATTCAGACTGCTTTGCTTTAGAAATATGTCAGACTTAATGCTAAAACATTGTCTTTTTATTTATTCCATGGTGCCACTCTGCAGTGCAGGTTTGTGGTGGTACATTTTCACTTGAGTTCTGAAAAGCAGACATTCATCAGGCAGAAACAAACATAAATAGTGCTGTTTAGAGGGTTTGCTAAATCCAACTTTGAGCACTCATATGAGCAAACCTCAGTGTAAAGGGCAAGGGTTTGTGCATGTCATATGTCTGACTTACCAATGAAAAGGCAAATTAAACCATATACAGAAACTTTGTTTTTAGTGAAGTATAGCGGTCTGCAAAAGGTGTTGGTTAACATTGACATAATATAGTGTTCTAATGATTGTCTTCCAGTAAAGTGCTAAGAAGTATTTGTTTGAATAAGATGATGAGTACAATTGTGAAATGTATGTCAAGAAAAAAATCATAAGGAAATGTGTCATTATGATGACACATGACTTAATGTGGCAGTGGCGGCTGGCCAATAGAGGGCGATAGGGCGCCGCCCTCCCTAAACCACACACAAACTGATACTAATTAATTATACAAATTGTCAATATGTATGTGTTTAAAATATGGAATGCACCCATAAATATGTATAAAATATGATTTTAAAATATTTTGCTAAATATATATGCTAACTGTATGACTGAAGTTCACGAGGCGGGTCTCTGTAGCAGGTTAGCCAATTGCTGATTCAAGATATGAACGTGCCGTGAAATGTAGCCAATCATCACACAGCGTCCTCAAAACTACTTCCGGAGGGGCGATTATTGTATCGCCCCAAGTAAGCAACTGCTACGCGGCTGGACGACGGCCACAGGATTGCGGTGAGGAAACACAATGAGGAGGTGGATAAAAACAGGCATATTTTATCAAAAATAGTGACGTTTTGTTGGGCTTTTGAGTTGGCTTTGCGTGGGCATGACAAGACGGACTCTTCAGTCAACCCTGGCATTTTCAGGGGATTTGTGGATTTTGTTTCCTCTCTGCACACTGTGCTGGAGGAGCACCTGAAGACCGCCACCGTTTTTAAAGGTTCGTCGTAGACGTATACACCACATTGCTTTTAAGAATAATTATTATTAGTTTGTTACATCTTCAGCTTTTTGTATCACTGTTGATTATACCGTTGTTCTGTAATATATATATATATATTTCCATACATATATATATATTATAAACATTATATATTTATATACATATATGTATGCAAGTATTGCTAATGCCATTGTTTTTAAGTTTTTTTACATAGTCCTCAGTCTCAAATGCTTAAATTGTTTATGGAGGCATTACAATGTAAGACTGGTCAATTAAAGCTGAAAACTCCAGTTTTTTTGCATTAAGTCATACCGGGATGTTTGCTGAAATTGATTGCATGTGGCAGAGCCCTACCTAGAAAAAATTCCACCAGCCGCAACTTTAATGTGGTTATGGTTGGTTTCAGATAATTCTTGCACCGTTTCTCTATAGTATTTTCTGTTGTGAGCTGAATTGAGCCTGATTTCCCCGTACTGTTATCCAACAGTTTTCATTCTGAATTAAGGTGGTCATGTGGTCGAATAAAGGAACTTGTATATATCCCCTGCAGTTGTTTAAATGTAAAATAGACAGTTCAAAAGTACCTTTGTTGACTATCTAAAGTGAAAATGCCTTTTTAGTGAAAATGAGGAATACATTGAACCCAATGACTGTAAATATAGCAGAAACCTGGCGTATTCCGAAGCAGCTGGCTGCAAGGTTACACCTGTTTAAACACAATGGCCTGTAGCCTGGATAGCCATGACTCATCCCAACACTTGTGAAATATTTGGAACGCACTAGTATTCATTTTGCGACAGCAACTCCTGAGGCCAAACCCAAAAATTAAAATGTGCTGATCCCATTAAAAGTTAAAGAAAGGCACTGTAGAGGAGTTAGGGGAATTACATTTTTCATTGTATTATTATTTTATTAAAAACTTGAATTCCACGTGTTCTGTTATTCCGTATTTGGACTAGTGTTCTATGAACAGGGCCTTAATAATACAATCAGCACTATTCCTTATTTTCAATGGTAACAGGATCTCCAATGAATACACACCATTTGTGTTGTGTTGAAAACAGTAACAGTAATCAAGGACAACATGTGTTTTCCACAAAACTTAAAGGGGTCCTTTTATGCTTTTGGGGTTTTTCCCTTTCCTGTAGTGTGTTTTATAGGTTTTTGTGCATGTTAATGGTCTGCAAAAGCTGAAATCCCAAAGTTCCCCCGGAAAATAATGACATCACTATGTAACACCGCTCTTCTATTGGCTAGCGCTCCAACACATTGTACGTGATAAGAGCCGAGACAATCTCTAAGACCCCATTTACACGCAAACACATACGAAACACAAACAAACTGAATACGATATCAACAAAGTATTACGTTTACACGAGACCGCTCGGGAGCGCTGGACACGCTGTAGTACATATGCCGGGCCTGTAAGTGGCGCTGTACTCCCGCCACAAAATACACCAAAAGCAGCGAAGAAGACCCCCGAGCATGGTTGCCCTTCTGTTTATGCCCCCTGCGGTGGGACATGCAATTATCTATGTCCACTTGTTGCTGATGGTTGTGGTAGAGGAACTGTAGATTTTGCACTAACATCTGTAGCATGGTCAGTAGCAGTAGCAGTAGCTACTGACCATGCTACAGCAGTGAGCAGCAGAGGTGGGGAGAGGTAGGGCTATGGCTTCATCGTTATCAGGAAATGATCGTATAGGGCGTATACACGGAGCCGTTTGGCACCCCAGAGCGTTCCGTTCGCAGATCTACCCACCTTGGGACCCGTATCGTTTGCGGGGTACGTTTCCGCGTCTCTGTTACAGCCTCGTGTGGACGGGCTATACGAAAGAGAAAAGTAGCGGATACAACCGTTTGCGTTCTCGTGTAAACAGCACCTAAGAGGTGGACTAATCCCAACAGATAAGCTAACCAGACAGAGGGTGAAAAGAGGTGCTGCAGCACAGGCAGTATGAGACAAATAAAGAGCTTTTTGAACATTAAAGCATGGAGACATGTCACAGTAGAGACACAGAATACTAATATGAACCTGAAAACAAGCATGATATGTCCTCTTTTATCAATCATTATATGTACAGGGTTGCTTTGACTGTAAATGGAAAACTGAGAAGCTATGTTAGGCACCATCACAAAAGGGCCAAAAGAGCTAGTTAAATATTTTCAAAGTTTTTCAGGAATCTTCAAAGAACCACAATTTCATATGGATCACTGTAAACAAGACTAAAAATGAGCAAATGTAAGTAAAAAAGCTATTTAATGTAGAATATGTCAACATCATATCTAGGCACCCACCCACTTCTATATATAGGTGATATAGGAAGAAAGAAAAAGGTTGAAATATGGATACAGATATTTATATAAAAAAGGTAACATCCTCTCTGCCCTAGTTCCTATGACTTGGCAGAGAGAAATAAAAAATAAAACTCCATCAACGATGGTGGCCATGACAATGCCAATAATTCTCAAAACAAATTTAGACCCAGCATAAAGGAAAAATACATTACCCACCTTCCCCTTTCTGACCCTCCTCACCCCTAATCATTTTCCCTCAGTCCCTAAATCACATGCAGCCATGATTTAAATCTGCCTTCAGCCATCTGTCTTGCATCGGGGCATCCATTTATTTGTGTTCCACATATGGAGCAGAACAGCCATAATGTAACATAAAACGTTAGCTTCACAGTGTACTCATATTTATTCCTTCTGACAAAAAAGGGGGGAATAATTTACACACAACAGTGTCTGAAATGTTTTTCCAAGCAGCAGCTTTTCAGGGCAGCAGTAATTCATTGGCTCTGCACTGTGCATGTACAAGCAAGTGAGAGATTAGTTGGAGAATTTCGTTTTTGGTGAATCTGTCGCACTAGAGAATAAACACAATAAATCATAGCCCGTTGCATTTAGTCGGCTGACCTTGAATGATAGTGGAGACTTTTTCTCCGAAACTATATTTCTATCTCATCAGAGTAACTCTTATTTGTTAGATGTTAGCATGCATGCTGTCTCTCCGCACCCCCCCCCCCCCCCCCCCCCCTCTCAATAGCTCTTCAGCTGTCTACTTCTCAACCAGATTCTAACGGAACAAATGGCTATTGCGCTTCAGTGTTATTCACAGTTTATGGCAGTAATAGACATGTTAATTGTCCTCGACTGCCATTAGCATCCGAGCAAAAAATTAGCTGCTCCATCATGCTCGGAAAGCAGTAAGGCTTAATAGCGCTCATTTATAATGGAAGTTTCCATTCTCAAACACGAC